ACAATTACATTACATAAGTCATCAGAATTTTTTACACAAACACTTAACAGAAAGTATTTATGCAAACTAAGAATACGATGTTGGAGCATCTGACCAATGTGAATGACTTTAAATTAGAGATTCTCATTGCAATAGTATTTGTTTTACTTCACAAACAAACCAAAAAAAAAGTACAATACTTGCCTTCTTTTTTTGAGGCGGGTTGCTCATGTGAGGTGGCGTGCCACTGTCTGGGTACATTCCCCCATAAAGAGTGTCCCCATACGGAGACATAGACCCATGGTCCCCCATGAGACCATGCCCACTTAAAGAGCTATGGAGAGACTCTACAGGGGAAAAGCATTCTGTTTTAGGGAGCCGCTGTTCCGTGGGCACAGTATTTCCCAGGTTTGCATTGAGGGGTGAGCAGGTATAAATGAGATTAAATTCTGTCTTGAAAGTTTGCTCCCTGCTTAGGTCCGATGACAGACAAGACGCTTGGTTCACTGAATTAGTTCCAACTGCTGGGCCTTGAGAATCAAGGCCTGCAGCACCTCCAGGAAGGGAGTATTCATCAGACATCATAGCAGCTGGACTCTCCAGGCTGGAGGAGAGGGACACCTCTAAAAACTGCGGTCGAGAAATATCATAGTCTGCTTGCACACAGGGCTGAGAAGACACAAAGAAAATTAACTTACAGGATGTCCTACAAAGCAGAGAGGCATTTTAGTGAGTGTAATGAAAAGTACCTCAGGTGATATGGACTCTGGCCTGTGGACTGGAGATGCCTCCGGTGACGATATGTTCTAATGAGACAAAGTAAAGTTAGGCTACTGAAGCTTCATTTAAGTAAAATTAACAGAATCTAAATCTGTCAACTGCAGAATAAAAAAATAAAAAAAGACTGAATAGGCTGTAGTGGTAGATAAACTTAATAAGTGCATGCTCACGCGTACCTCAAACTGCAGTGGTGTGTTGCAGCGGCTGGTCGGCAGTGAGGGCATGGGGGAGTAGGGAAGGCCGTTGGATAGACAAGGCGTGTGGAGCAGAAGATGAGGAGGGTCCTCTGGAGGAGGGGGGGTGATGGGTGACAAGGGCCGGAGTAAATGCTCCGAAGATGTTGCTGGTGTTGATTCAGTCAGATACTTGGACCTGCGCTTTTTAATTGGGGCATTGACCTCTGCAATTCAAAAACGAAACAAAGACAAAAATTGACCTCAGCAAACTTAAATACTTAAGTTAACTTAAAAACAGTGGATGTGTGGCAGATAAATAGGGGACTGACCAGTGGACAGTGGGTTGGGGGTTGACCTGCTACTCGTACTTTTCTGAGACAAGGTGGATTCTGTTCCATCTTCAACACTGACAGAGCAGCTCTCATCTTCCATTTGCTTTATCCACCTCTGCCACAGAAACAAAAAGTTTAACGGATTATTTCACATGGTTCATTTGGTTTTATTCATCAGCGACTCACCTTCTTGTAACAGCCATAAGTGCCATCCATCTGGAGTGGACGGGGTCTGCGTCTCTCGGGGTTAAAGGGTGAGCCGAAGCGGATGTAGTGTCGAGGAGTGGTACAGATCATGGATGTGTGAGACAGGCCTGGCAGCATATTCAAAGTGGTGGCCAGAACTGTGGGGTCTGTGGTTATCCTCAAAGGACGCTCAACTGGCAACTCCTGGGGCACCTTCTCACCTCCAGGCACTTTGTCATTTAGCCACTCAGTAACCAAGTACTGCAGAGAGAACATATAAAGAAAAATTATATTAATCAAATTAGTTTGGTTAAGAAGAAACTATTAATGACAAACAATCGAAGAGGATTAATAGTAGACAGGGTCAATAAAATTTCCACATTATTCCTTATTCAGGCTGTCAATATCCAATACTACCTCACCTTCTTGGTTTTAGGGTAGCGAAAGTTCCCTCTGTGGATACAGTTTGGACCTTGTCCATCTCCATCAAAAAGGCCAACTGAACCTAGAACCCCTTCCCCCTGTTCAGCACCATAGGGGCCCTGGGATGCCTCCTCTTCTAGAGCAGCACCCTGATCAGCCAAAGCACCAGATGCTGCCACTGCAGCTGCTGCCTGTTGAGCCAGAGCCTGGCGCTGACGACGTGCACGTTGTGATGAACTGGAGCGATAACGAGAAATTCGACTTTTGGGCCTGGGCTTTGCAGGTCGTGTAGGTTTAGCTGCAACAGCAGGGACTGGCAGGTTGTGAGGTGTCTTGTCATCAGTTGGAGTTGGGTCCTAAGACAAATATCAGATGAGCTGCTGTATTGTCAACAACCTTTGATATTTAATTAGTTGTCACAGTAATACTTACAGTGACATAGGTTGTGCGCCGTGTGCTCATTCCAACTGCCGTGGTAGGAGCTGCTGGATTTCCTGCAGTCACACTCCGAGAATCAGCTTCTACACACTCTTCTTTCAACTCGGCAAAGCCTGCTTTCCTCCGCCGTCTATCTGCAATGTTCAGCGTCTACGCACACAGAATTATAGTAGTAGTAATTATAGTATTTTTACTATGGGACATTGCAACAATCTCATCAGATACTAATGACATTCACACAACATTTAATCATCATCTCTCAATCCAGGTGCTCTGACAAGTGAATTGCTTACTGGTGGTTATACAATAAAGATCAAGGCAATTCAACGAAATTTAGCACCTCCACGTCACTGTGGGAAGAAATTCTACAGTGCAGTTAAGAAATCGCACACTAATAGTTTTGATGTTTCCTTTCAACCAATACCAACATTTAAAAAGGTAACTATTAAGGACATACTTTATTACTAGAGCCAGGCACTCCGTTTTCAAACAGCTCGTTGTCTTTCTCTTCAGCCTTCAGTTCTTCAAATTGTTTCTCCTTGAATACACAAAAAACAAAATGTAGATTTAGGGGTTTTTCACAGATCAGTTGACATCAGTTGACAAGCAGTTGACAAGTGCTTTCAAATTGAATGCAGTGTGTTTGGGCCAATGTGAAATCAACAGCCGCACTCAAAACAGGAGATCTCAAAAGCAGCTAACCCCAAGCCAACCACTACTACTACTATTAGTGCGAAACACAACTCCTCTTGTACTTATAATAATAGTAATAATAGCGCATTAGGCTTCTAAGATCAGAATAGATCAGGCTTTGACTTGGAGGTATGGCCATCATCTGCACACTGTGTGCTGCTACGAGCATTTCATTGCAATCTCCAGCAAGAACCACCCACATGGTGAATTTGTAAGGCCTGGCGGGCAACATGAAATCTTGCGATAATTTGTGAGTTCACAAAGACATTTCTCTAACAAAATCCATCTGACCCAGTTCCAGCTGTTAGGCCCTGGCCACCAGTCATCTACACAAATCACAAACATTACAGATGGACGTATTCCAGCTCAGTAGTGGAAATACGGACTATTTTGTTTATGAAAAACACACAGAGGGAAGAGCTTTGTATATTTGAGGATGGGAAAGATGTTTGTGCTTTTCTCTTAAGTGTATTTTGCTTTCTGTTCCATTGTTGTGACGCTTTGACCAATCAGATTCAAATATTCGCCATGATGTGAGAGCCGTTCCAGTGCATCAGTCTGTTATGACCTAGGTTCAAATTTAGTCAAGAGTGGACAAAAGGACCACTACGACCCTGTACCACTAGAAAAGCATGCATGTTCACTGAACTTTGCATGAAACCAGTTGTTAAAAAACAATCTGTAATCAGTTGAACTCACATGTTTGGGTTGAATGTATTTGGTGTGTGTGATCAAGAGCTCCACCAATTAAACTGAACTAAATTTTGTGCACATTGGGCCCATACCACAGAGCTTATGTGTAAGCACCCTTACATATTAAGTTTAAACAATTCCCAATAAAAAGCTGTAGTCAGTCATTACCTCAGCATCACTGGCTCCTTGTGCGTCTTTGGCCTCCGGGTGCTGGTCTAGAGACTGGTTAATATCACCACTTGAGCCCTCTTGCTCTTTCCTTCGGGCCTTTCTCCTTCTGGTTTCTGCTCCAATCAGAGGTGTGGGAGGTAAAAGTGACGGAGGACTCACCAGGTTATCTGTGGGGTTTAGGTTGTGTTTCTGTACTGGGCAGTTCTCATTCCCCTTATGGCAAGCACAGTCCACTTTGTAATTACTGCAAGACACAAAACACTGCAAGTTATTACTCATTATCTCATTACTGTATTCATACAGTTAGTTTCACAGGTTGAGCGCACCATATAACATTAGCTGGTGGTGCATAGTAAACTTTTTTTTATTAAATATAATATATATTAATACAATTTACTGTGAATAATCACCCATGTATCCAGTTTGCTTTTGTATTAAGCCCTGATGAAGACCCCTATAACACGTAATGATAATGATTTATATTTATTTATTAGAATTAAATGTTCAAAATACTAACCAACTACTAAATTCAAAGTCGAACCCAATGGTGACCTCAGAATCCTTAGTGATTTGACTAACAGCGTAGATGCACAGGTGAATCATACCCTCAGCAATCATATGTCGAACCTGAAAACAGAACACATGGCACTGTTGACTCAAATCTAAAACATTAAAAACTAAATCTTATTGTTACATGTATCTTACTTCAGCATTGGGTGTGCAAGACCTCCTGATAAATCGGGCATCATTCCCAAATGTACGTGCATCAACACACATCTCTACATCATTGTACTTTGAGTAGAAGAGCACAAATGGATAGGGTCTAAAACATAACAACAGGCATGAATAAAAGATCATTTCTAATACAATTAAACTGAATACTGGTAATCTTACTTTTTGAAGAAGTGACCATTGACTTCAAATTGTTGTTTGAGCATGACTTTCCCCCGATACTCAATAATTAGGGTATCAGGCTCCAAAGTCTTGGCCGCTCGTAAAATCTTCCTGTGTTTTTGCACACGAGTAACACGTCCCAACTGCAGCTATGAAAAAAATCATTTTAAAAGTAAATCCATGACAGACAAGTAAGGGATGCATTCCACCAGAATACTTAAGGCCTATTCATATTTCATAAAAACAAAAAGAACTTTGCTCTTGCACCCCGGGCTGGCCGGTTCCTGTTCTGCAGTTCTTGCAGTTTGTTCTCAGCACCTCAGCTTAGCAGAACTTTGTTTGGTAGTTCAGCAGTGCTCTCTGACATCTTCGCTCTGATTGGTTATTTATGTGGGCATGGTTTATCTGTTTCCTTGCCAGTGCAGAACAAGAAAAAAACTTGATGGTTTCGAGTCACAGCTGACGGAAATGGTGAGAATATACAAACATCTATACAATATGATGCTCAATGACTATAAAGACAGCCAAATGACAAGAAATTCATGGAGGGATATTGCAGACATTTTAGACTCGGACAAAAATCAATGTAGAAAAGTCTGGCGTAATCTTCGTGACAAGTTTGCGAAAACCCAAAAGGCAAGTCACCAAAAAAAAGAACGGTCAGGCTGGAGGACGAAAAGAAATAGAGCTAGGGGGAGGGCAGTTCAGCAGCAGAACATCTTCATTAGTTTATCTTCATTAGGCTATAGGTGTGACAACACAATCCAAGCTCTGAAGCACATGAAGACCAACTATGGTATTAAACATAACAAAAAAACTTGCAATGTGCCATGGCTTGCAAACTAGTCTGTACTGCTTTGGTGACACGTACCTGCATTTGTGAGCCGAGGACTGTGTTGTTACAGGAGAGTGCGGTCCGGTTTATAGTGTCTATGAACTCTGCTGGACTTGTTTGTGATGAGGAGGGGGACTGAGAGTCTCTGGAGCTGCCACTGTGGTGCTGAAGGAGTGACTGCACATCTGCGCTATACTGATTGGCCAGAGCTTCCTCATATTGGTCTGTCCACTTGCGGATTTTGCTCTCCCACCCCTCTGAAGTGTTTTCATCCAGCACACTAGCATCTGTTGTTGAGTTCTGCAAGGTACATTGCACCTGTAACTACACTGCAGAAATGCTCTAAAATTCCCACATTTTTTTCTTTACCGTACCTTCATTCGCATGGATTTTCTGGAACCCTCTCTGAAAGCCTGAATATGATAGTAAAATAGTAGATAAACATGAGGTCAAAAGGTTTCTGGCTCACCGCTGAAAATTATAAATAATTATATACAGTAAGTCACATTTACAGCATTTTTACCTTGACCTTCTTGGCCTTGGCTACACCACGAGTCTTCTCTGTGCTTTTCTTCCTCTTTTTGGATTTACTTCGTTTGACTCTGTTGACCGTGAGTTTAATGCTGGTGGGCGTATGTTGAGTGGCTGTATAGGACACAGTTGAAGGGGATACCTCTTCATCGCCACTTTCAGTAGCACTGCTTTCTCCCGCTAACATAAAATCAAATGCTTTTGTCAAATTACATTTTAAACATTGTAAATGTTATTTTTTTTAGAAGTGATAAACCAAAACAACGTACCAGATACATTTTCAGGATTTCTGTGACCCTTTCCTCTTTTACAGCTGTCAAGGTCCCTGCAAAGTGGGCAGAAAAAAATAAGAAATGGGTAATAATATTATTTCTAGTCATATATTTAGCTGACTGTATTATTGAACAAAAATAAGAGTGTGTGGCAGACCTGCAGTGGTCACACTTGATGAGGATACTGTCTGCTGTCAGACTACATTGACACCAGCTTGAGTTGGGCAGCTCGTCATCAGAGGAGCTGTCACTGTCTGCGGAGTTGTCCTCAGCAGATTTGTGATAGCGAGAAGCTCTAACCACACCGTTGAGCTCCATGCGGGGAATGATTGTTTGGGACAGTGGGGAAGCAGGTGGCGTGGGGGGCGGAGGCGCACCATAGTTGTGATCTTGGCAACACACAACGGAAGACTGCTGCATCTAAACAAAAGAACAGAGAGACACGGGTTTTGTTTAATATGAAAAACATTTCACAGTATATAATAGAACATGGTCCAAATATATAAAAAAATATTCTTACAGCATAGGGTAGACCACGATACCCATGACTCTGTGCACTCCCACAGCTATGGTTGTAGTTCTTCTCATTCACTGCAGGACTTGCTTCTACTGATTCAGGGCTGAAATATTAAAAGAATATATAATTATTCCTATTTTTTAAGAATCTCAGAAGTCTACAACTTTAACAGCAGGAAGAAAAGGGGATAATACACTTGTCCCCATTGCAAATGTGTATCTGCTGCACTGTCCATTACCAAAAGCACTTGTTTAAAACATCCTCTTTTTTACTTAATAAAAAAAGAACATAAATTTAGGATTGTGATTATAATATTAATGTAATTTAAAATAACTAAATATAGAGAATCTAGACTCTAGATATTTAAAAGCTGTTGTTTGAACTAATCAGAATTTTATTTGAATTGCATTGATTGCATTTGAACTTTGTGCAGCGGAGACAAATATCGTGGAGACTTGAAAGACTTGACACATTTTGGTACCTGAAAGATGATCAAGCAAAAAGCGGTCAATCTAAGAACTTACTCGGATCCAGCAGCCATGTCTGAGTATGACGTTTCAGGCGTAGTGACTCCCAGAGCGATTACTATGCTCATGACGTCCAGCACAGCGACGCTCTGGGAGGGGGATGAGGGGGGAGGAAGGGGTGGGGAAGGGGGGGTAGAGCAAGGGCAGGGGGGAGGGAAAAAGGTTAAGAATCACAGGGTTCCAGCTACAGCCACAGAGCACGCCAAGGGTGGGTGCCACCGAGCCGCACGCCACGGCCCACCGGCATTGGGGACCTACAACACACAAATGACATTTTAAAAACACTTCACTCATCATTCACGGATAGAAAAAATGTCACATTTTGGAGAAAGTCTAAATATTTATGATCAGCAAATGTATATTTAAAATCCCTTTTTATTTATTTTAAATTACAAGACACATTTAATTGGAAATTGGAAAACTGGAATTTGAAACATATTTAATTGGAAATTGTGATAGATAATAAGGAAAAAAATCAGAAAAAATGTCATTAATTTCTTTGTCATACCACCCAGGCCTAGCACAGATAAAGCATTTTTCCTTTGTAGGGCTGACAGTATTAATTAATGAATAACTGGAAAGCAAGGTTCAGAATCAGTACTAATAGACTAAATCTCCTTTGGTGATAAAGATAACACATTATAAAATCTTAAATGTAGAAGGAACTGGAAGTAACAGGTTATTCCTAACAACCAGTTTTAAAGTTTTACTTTTTGTTTTACTTTTTGTTTTGGCCCCAGCAGTTCATAAGAACACCACTAGGGGGCACTAACTGCACTCTAAACCTATTTTCGGTGACTCATTCACTGCATCATGTGACCGAACCATGGAGCCAACCCAGCAGTGTTTTCTCACGCTCTCTCACTGCTCCTAGGCAGGACAAAAAACACGGCAGGATAAAAACAAGTTTGTAATAATAATTCAACCTATTCAACATCACAATAAAACTAAGAGGTACCAGACGTGCAGAGCATCATTACAAAGTCTCAATTCTAATAAGAAAACTTTATTTGATAAAGCATAATTAGAAAACAATTAATCTTTTTTTTTTTTTTTTAGATACAGTATATTGTTTTCGATTTAGAAATGTGTCAAGTGTCAAGGCAAAAGCAATTCTCTATATGCCAGTTCATACTTACAATTATTACTCAAAAATACCATATTACCCAATCTCAAATTAGAAGTCTTTCATTTGGGCTCATAGTTAAAATGCTGAAATCCAACATTTGGTTTAAGCCTAAAATGACTCCTGCATCCTCACTGCCTAAACCCCCAGCACCTGCAACCAATCATGAATCATGCCTGTGTAGCCTCTGCGCTATATGCAGTCATATATTGAGACTGGTCAAAACTTGTATGTGTCCTTTATATGCAAGTTTAAGCACTGGCAACCCAGGTTCAGCTGTGATTGTAATACATTTTTTCAAGCATACTCCAACTGTAAGGGAGCACAGTACACACAGTTCCTCTAAACAGCTTCCAGTTTAATTTAGGGTGAATTTAGTCAGTTAATCACAATTAACTCAAGTTGACTTAAGTCAAATGTCTGAGAATTTTAGAAGCAAAATAATGAATTTCAGTTAAAGCTATATTTATCAAAGTACACCAAAACATAAATAGTTTTTTATATTATCATTTATGGTTGTCACATTTAAACAAATCACGATCTATTAGACAATATTAGTGTTACGACACAGCTCTGCCAATGTTAGGGGAAACAAAGGTCAAGATTTCACTCTTGCACAATGTTATACCGTAACTGTGCAATAATCATAAAATCACAATGGTTATTCTTATTAATTGTAACACTGAAATGTTAAATTGTGACATCCATAGTGGCAGCTATAGCAGGACTGATGTGTATAGCTCAGTGCTCCTCAGTGGTGAAGCTGTTTAAACATGGAGGTGGGTGTCATCAACTAAGGCTGCCAATAGTTAGGTTGACAGGAAAAGGGCATTTGCTCCAAGAGCAGCGCTTGGGACAGTGCAAACCCAACAGTCCCATTCTACACCACATTAAACGGCCGCTCCAAGAGCCCTTGAAACACAAGGTAGAGTGTGGTGTGAACGCAGTCGACCAAACAGTCCGTGGTGACAGCTAAAGTGGATTTGGGTAAAAAAAAAAAAAAAAAAAGGGGGTTGCTGTTTGCCACATTCATCTGACAAGTAAATGTTCATCTTAATATCAGCAGCGCTTCTCTCTGCCTCTGTCAACGCAGGGAAGCCTTGTCACCTTTTCCTCCCCCATTACCAGCACGCATCACTCATTCTTTAAAGCAGCAATCTACTTTGGATCTGGATAAATGGTGAAAGCACAGGTGAAAGAACAAGACCACCATGCATAGTGCCAGAAGTCTATGGCTATGAAAATAAGTTCAGCGATCATCTGATGGCCTCTCAAGTGGCTCATGGTGCGTGTTTGGGGTGAACGAAGCTCTGCGCATGTGAACAAAACCGACCCAAAAGTGTAGTTAACAGTAAACAGAACATCTTGTGCGCACTGGGGTCAGTCCATAGAGCACATGAACATGTGAGAAAATAAAAACATCACATGATGGCAGACACTATGTTTTCAGTAATTTTGAATCTATAAATCCATGGTTCTACTCAGACTGTTAACAATTATAGAAATGTGTTACACTAAAGTCAGTTGTACAACAAAACCATTAAATGCGTACATTTAAAAAGTAAATAGGATTGATTCCATTCACGTCTATGTATCCCAATAACATTATGATAATGCTGGTGAGGCCTGGATTATACTTCCACAAGTACATTTTGCACATAAGAGAAAACATTTTCAGTATTATAATCTGTGTGGTGATGCAGCTTCAAACAGTAGAAACTGCCTGGCCCTTCGTACCCCTAACACCTAATGTGCTGCACTTTTCGCTCATTTTCAATGAATGCTTTAAAAGAATTATGCATCTTTGATGAGTGCATGGGGCAAAATCCATTGCCAGTGTGTCCCAGGCCTTACATTTAAACAAGACCAGCCCAGTGCAGTTCATCAGGATTAAATGTAGCTATTACATAGATGTTCTGTTTTGAATGCAGTCTCCCCTTTCATTCCTCAAAGTAGCAATTTACTTTGGATCTGGAAAAATGAACAATATAAAACTCCATAGATGATTAATATGGCTTTTTGACTCATGACCACAGATAGTGTGTAAGGCCTTATTAGAAGCAGTCTATTCTTTAATCACTATCAGTCCCTCTCCCTGGTGTGTGTCCTCCACACACCATCTATGGCATTTTTCAGGCATTTTTCTACTTCCTCTGTGGACACTGCAAACTCACAGATCATCCAAGTGCAGTTCAGTTCATCTTGAACAAGCCTATAATAGTCCACTTGATTTGCTTAAAAAGCTCAATTGACCAAAATATGAAACTCGCCCTATAATTTTTTTCTGTGTCTTGGTTAGTTAAGTCAGTCCTCTGCCATTAGTTATAATCAAGAAGAAATACAAGTGATAAATAATGTCAATTATTACTACTATTTGTGGTCTTTTCTTGCTTGTGTTTAAAGTAAGCTTCAGAATTCACGCCCAGGCTATGTAGTTATTGAAGTCAAGCGTCAGCTATCTTGCATGTTTTCACAACATAATTTTGTACTTGTAAATCAGTACTAAAAACATTTTGGATTAAAATCACTAGTAAATTGTATAATATGTGGCTCAGAACAAAAAAGGAACATGCATTTGCAGGCAGTGCAAACATTCGGTGCCATAGCAACAGCACTGCTGCTACGAATATGTTAAAACTGTCTGATTATTTTTTATCTGTTTAGCAATTTAAGGGCCATGAACTAACACATAGACTTGACTGTTACTGAAGTACAATTTATGAGAGGACCACATGTGTATCAGCTTGAAATGGTTTAGTGGATGGCTCAGTGGGTTTAGAAAACAGAACATGTTCCCACAAATATCACTTATGAGCATAGTGAGAAAAGCATGTCTGATTGTGTATTCACTCCTTTCAACTGATTCTGTATTATAAGCACCATTGCCTTTTCTTGGTACTACTAACAGAATACAGCAAAGAAGGCCTCTGCAACAACACTCCCACAAGAGCCAGGGAAACACTGGCGGTCCATTGGACCAGCTCCAGTTCTCCTCCACCAATAGAAGAGCTGCAACAAGCAGGCGTCATGGCCACTTGTTTTCAACCCTGTTGTGCAAGATGGAAAAGCACACACTACCAGGACAGCAGAGGGGAGACTTCAGAAATATACAGGCAGGAAAACACATTTGTATTGGGGGATTGGTGCAGTAGCCACAAATCATTTATATTCCAATTCTTTCATGCATTTCAAAACCATTTGCTTTTCTGACCTTATATGCACTCTCAAGAACAGCACGTCAACAACTCACTATCAACATTAACTGGCATACATATAAAATAAGACAACTCCTATCACCTAATCTGCAAGTCGGCTATTTGACAGATTGTAACAACTACTACACTTTGTGTATTATCTGGTAGTGTTGTGGCTAATGCAATAGACCTCTAGACACTCTTATTCGAGAACACCAATGCAGACCCAACAAATAATTGCATATATAGCTCCAGTGGCAAATATATCGATCCAGCTAAAATAATAGTAGACCTGTGTATATTTTGTTATTACAGAATGTCCTAATACACGTACATTTTGCGTGAGTGTGTATTCCAGATTATATTAGCAGTCCACCGGTCCAGTGACTCCACAAAACACGGATACATTATTACGTGGTGTAGCTGTGCGTAGAAACAAACGCAGGTAGGCTACGTTTAGGGCAGCCATGAGTCTTGTGCTTCCAAAATATTTGACCTCGCAAGAAGTACGTTGTATAAAAATTGGCCCCCATTTGTATGTACGTCTATTTGGTTTTGAGAAGCGTTCACTCACACGATAATGGGTTTGCTTTTTGCTAGTAGCCAATTTAAAAACGCAACAACTGCGAGTTTTCAACGTTATCATCGATTTACATTGCAGAAATTCACTGAAGTCAACACAAATGTTGTATGGTGGGCTAAATGAATTGATATACGTCTAAATCAACAGTGTAAAACACATAGGCGCTCCAATATAATGTGAAAGCTAAAAAAGGAAACAGTCCCCGTCTAAAATACCAGCCAGTTCTGTGAACCGCCATCGAGGCTGGGGGTTGGGAAGTGGGGGAGGTGAAAAACAGCAAGTCACCACCAAACACAAGTGCTTTTTATTTGCCAGTTTCACTCCAAAACAGATACACAATGTCTAACCTGAAGCTACTTCAGTAATTTAGATGGACTTGGAGCATTATGTCAATGACGTCTACAACATTACTTACATTTTAAAACAGCCAACACTCAAAACATTTAAGGATATACACACAATTATGTTGATGTACATGAAGACGTATTATGAAAAATCAGTCATTAAATGTAACTAGTGTGTTTCCATGAAGTGTCATTACTGGTGTGGGGCTTCAACTTTGTCGAGATAAAATGCGTGGCAGTATGCCACAGAGACTAGAAAGAGCACCGTTCGAACATGAGTCTAGTCCTGTTTTATGTGTACATTTTGGAGGAAGCTAATGGAAAAATGTCTGAAATTCTTAATCTTAATGTTCATTGCGAAAATAAATACACAATCACGTATCCCAAAAATGGACGGAACCTCAGTTCATTACCCAAGGAGATCTATCAGGTATGTTTAGAACATAGAGTCTGTGGTTCAGTATAATGGCATGAAGGGTCAGAAAAAGTTTGCAATTAACGGTTAAATGACTGAACCAAACGCAAAAACATGGATTTATCGGTCCAGGCTGTGCAAGATAATCTTTTGAACGTGAATCAATCTTCTTGAACGTGCTGAAAATAAAACAAAACCAACCCTTATGCTTTCATAGGTAAAACAAAATAATGTCAAAGTGTAACAGGTCCGAAAACAATCCCACGTTACGATAACGATTTTTCTTCCACGAAATAGTTACCTTTAATCACAAGTGCACAAAAAAGCAACGATAGCACTGTTTTGAAAAACGAATTATGTAGTAAATACACATGCTTTTTCTATCATCTTCTACAAGCTATCTGTCTTGATTCACCTGATTTTAACACAGACAGCATACAAAATGCTTTTTCATAATGTGAGTTCTGTAATTATGCTTATTTTAAGCAGGCTCAGTGTTTTAATCAAGTAAAGTGGACGCCAAGTATTGGGCTAACTAGCTCAGTTAGCCTTGTTAGCTATACTCGTTAGCTCAGGAGCGATGATGGTTCGACTGAAACATGCTCCGTGTTTGTTTAATCTGAACGTATTGTGGCTGTTGATAACGTTTCATTACTGTGTCCCGCATACTCACCTAAAGGGACATTCCAAAATCTTGTATGTGGGAAAAAATCCAGTACAATGGAAAGCCTTTGTGATATCCCAACATGAAGCAGCCCACTAGGCCTGTGACAAGGCCTCGGAGTCTCCCGTATGTCTGCCGTTAAAAGTAGCTCCCTCTCTCTGGATCACAAACAAACTTCTCACTGTTTCCACGCATTGGCGTAAAGTTAAATTCAATATCCACGCAAAGTAAAGGTCATCCATTAAGTCTGTCCAGTAGATCCCTGCAAGGTAGATCCATTTATTTTAGTTGATATAATATTTATAATAGGTATTTATAATGAGGTATGTGCTGCTGTATCTAATGCACTCTGATTCTGTGAAGGTCCGTACGTTTGCAGAAGCGCCCATCCCCCTCCTCACCGGGCTCGAGCTCCAGTCCCTGCGAAAATGACACACAACCTGTACGCGGGGTTTCCCATGCGACCGAGAAGGGGCTTGTTGGTTACGTGACACAGAATCTGAAAACTAATTGGACAACAACGTGTCAGTCACTTTGTACACATATATCGACCAATCAAAACGTCGATCGATTTCGTTTTCCGTCATTGGGCGGGATGTGTGCTGAGGAGGGCAGTGAAAAGTCCGCACCATTACGAGCCGTCGACATTTGGGATAGTTGGTGTTGAGAAGTTGTAAAGAACCTCAGACGGAATTTGGAACTAATCTCCCCGGATATTTTATAAATTTGGAATAATCTTAACAATCTATTGGAATTATGCTTTTGTTTGGGTGAATATTACCGAGGATTGCGTGTTTGAAGTTCGAACACATTCATGAGTAAAAAGAACAGGGTCATGAGGTCCCTGTGGGGTTTCTTTTCTTTATGGTGGCCCCTCTTTAAATGTTACATGCATTTTCTGGGAGGATGTTTCTTATTTAATGGATACAAAAAGACCAAGTGTCACTGTAATGTAGCATGTATTGAAATGTTTAAAATCACGTCAAAATGATCAATCGTCAATATTTGATCAACTTTCTTAATTTTATTCTCGACGATAAACATTCTGATTTAGTTTGGTACGAAGGAGCTAAGTGAGAGACTGTTGTGTGGCCCAGCGTGTCTGCATATGCTACGATTTCAGCCGTTTGACGATCACGATCTAGAATTTTCTATTGTTGAATAAGCGGCTCACCTCTGCGGTAGGAGGCCGTACCCAATCAAACAAATCCGTAGATGTGTGGACTTTTCACATGAAGGCCTACACATAATGGAAAATGGCATAAATAGGTCAAAGAAAAGCCAATGGGTTTAGGCCTACTTGATATCGATTGGCTCCACACAAAAGTAGAGTAGACGTAAGGTTCACAAGCAACATTTATTTTTAGGTCAATTGCGCCCTCTGGTGTCTAAACATTTCAGTTCTTTTCTCGTTGAGTTATCTCAATATAATACTGAGATTCAATGCAAACTCATAATTCCCAAATTAGAGCCTATGTGTATTTCTGCTTAAACGTAAAGACATTAACCAAAACTACAATATAGGATAGGCTATCACATTGATTGTAATGTTTGTCTACTAATAGAAAAAAACTTTCTGGCCTAGTGATAAATCACTCAATGCAATACTTAGAATACTTTATTCCATCACAATGTGTGAGAATAACATTCTCTTATGTTAAATCACTACAGTTTCATCTGAAATCACTATATACAATATAAACAGAAAATACACATCCATATACAGTAGCTGTTTCTGGGAGCCTGTGATAGTATCCAGCCATACAGCAGTTTAGTGTCCCTCAGTTCCTTACATACAGCCTATAAACTGGGTGCCATTATAAAGCCTAATGATGAAGCATAACACCACATGCAAAATGTTAGTGCAAAGTCTGTTGGATACATAAACTGTTGGCATACATAATGATGACTTCAGTGGCTTGCCACAAAGGCTCTGATTGCAGTGTCTTATCACTATACACCTCGGCTTTGTTCATTTGTCATTTACATTAGGTCAATTTCACAAAACAAATTATTTTGCAAGTGTACCAAAGTACTGACAGAAATGTACTTTATTATACAAAAACTGTTAAAAGGCAAATTTTCCATAGCCCAAAATTTGCCTTGATTTAGTCTTGGTTTTGTGTCATCTTTTTTTTATTCTGACCAAGTTTGACTAGTAATGTAAGGCATGTACTTTTTGTTGTAACTGAAGTTGTGTGTTAAAAGTATATTAAAATATCAAAATAATATCAATATTGTAGTACTTAACAGCCATATTACAATATTTTCAAATACAGAGCAGCCCTAAATCCTACAAAAATGCCCTATTTCATTAAATATATTTGTTAAAAGGAATGTTAAATACAAAAAAAAAAAAAACAACTTGGCAGTTGTCACTGGGATTTTGGCTTACTTTTTAAAAATGCCAACCATTCAAAAGGACAGGTCATTTTTCTGTGCAGATGTATTGCTAGTTAAAACTGATCAATATATTGCTGAATGAATTAATAATGTATTTAACTGTTGCAAAAAATGATGCAGCATGAGGCTGAGGTAGAGGGCTGCATAGACATTAACAGAATTACATGGGAAGACATTAACTTCAAAATAAGACATAATGATAATTTTAAAATTGCGTTATTTTAGTTTTAAAAGTTGCCATTTCCATAAAATATACATTAGTAGCCAGCAGTGGTGGAAAGTAAAGAAGCAAAAAGTACTTTCCTTAGGTACAATCTTTTCTGAAATAAATTATTTACACTGGATACTTTTCACTTTTACATTACTACATTTGAGAGCAATATCTGTACGTTCATAATGGCATCCTGTCTGTTTTTAGTTCAAGACCTAGCACTGAGCAACAAAGAAAACTTAATTCAGTTCAGTCGCTTTGGTAAAATTTGCACAGTTTTTTATCAAGATCGCCTCATTTGACTTCTTAATAGATTTGAAGTACTTTCTTTGTTACTGTAATTGTACTTTATTATGGTATTATGCGTCCCATTTCCACCACTGGTAGCCAGAAATGCATTCACATTCACTGCTGTAACTGCAACTGAACAAACCTGAAAACACAGGTTGCTCCAATTTTGTCTTGAGAATTTGGGGCATTCAGTATTTTTAACAAGTGCAAATAATACATTTCTGCTTTTAAAAACAAAATATAGAGAAACCTGGGCATGTACTACATGGACCAAAAGATTTGGGTTTTAGGGTTCCCAAACATTGTACACAGTAGACTGCAGTAAGGCAACAGTTGGAAGACTCACTATCTATGAAATGTTGCTGAGAAAAGCACTTTGCACATCCACTTCTTAGTCAGGGTCCATTACTTGGCCTGTCCACTGAACATTGTCCTGTTCAGCGTTGATACTCCCATCCCGCAAGAGTCCATCTCCTTCAGCAGAGAACAGTGAGGTGTTTCTGTCACAAGTCTGTCACTTTATTCTCTACTGCAGCAGCAATCTGCTGGAGTCTGTATCCCAGCTGCATTTTCTGGGCTGTGGTGTCCTCCTCAAGTGCTGTTATGATCTGAAGAGAGCAACAAAACATAAAAAATAAGGGACTGGTATTTGGCTACCAACCCTGATCATTTGCCAAAAGTCTATCCTCCCTCTCTCTCTCCATTCTACGCATCACTATCTAATAAAGCCTATGGGTAGCCCATGGTACAGTATCTAACATACTCTACATGCGTAAAATAACCATATACAAATTTTATCTGTCAGGAACAATATTCATTTTACAAACATTTGGCACCACAGGGTAATTCCTTCAGCATATTTACAATTTTATATATATATAATAATTATTTTTTACATTTTGCATTTGTTTTCTTGGCACAATAATGAAATTATTACCTGGTCGTAGTATTTATTGATATACTTGTAGAGTTCATGCAGTGCCACCAGGTAGTTTAGCTCTCCAGAGTAGTTCTGAAACAGCACAGTCAGATGGTTTGCTTATTCACAGCATTAAGAGTAAAATAAAATGTGACTGCAGAGGACTAACCCTCGATAATTCAGCAAGAGCAGAGTTCATCTCCTGGTCACTGGCTGAGATTGTCTGCCTGATGTCAGCGTAGTACCTGTGTAGATTGACAAAGGAGAAGTGCATTCAGAAAATATGCATTCTAATGAATACATTTTAGGCAATGCATTTTAAAAGTGGAAGATACCTTTCAACCATCTGCTTGTAACGAGGAATGTCTCTGGCATACAGCAGTTTGTTAATGGGAGAATCCTATATACAATCAAATAAAAATACCAAAAAACACACCACTGAGATAAAGTCTGTTAACAAATGATTATTCATATGAGGGCTGTAGTCCTTTAGTCGATTAATCGGTCGAGGATCCTAGTTGACCAAAATTTGTACTAGTCAACATTTTACATTATAATGAACCAAGAATTTCTTTACTCAACTACAGCCCTAAATGACATGTGATTTAAACATCTTACCCTTCCCAGTTTGTGCTCAGCTATCGTACAAGAATCCATGAATGTCTGAGCAATGACTGAAAGCACAGCATCCACATGATCTGAAGCCTGGACATCAAAAATGAACTGAGGGTTTTTCACAATGTTGATCCAGAAACGCAGAGGAAGGCTGGAAACATAGAGCAGACATGAAAAAATAGAAGGGACAATAAAGGAGAACAACAACAAAAACACACACACACACACACACACAAAAGCAGGTTTAAGTTACTGTATGTTCGTAAAGTTTTTAAAGCTTTTTTGCTAAGAAGAGCCTTCATTGAACAGTGCTTTTGTGTGTGCGCATTTTTTGTGTGTGTGCATTGTGTGTACATTTTTTTGTGCACCTGTTGGTCTTCCAGATGTGAATAGTCTCTGGGTCGGTGATGCCGTGCTGCCCTGCTTGATCATCCAAGAGGTCAAAAAAATACTTGACTGCCAGAGGAACTGGGCGACTGGTACTGAGGATCACCATGAATAGATCATCCACAAACTTCTGCAATGTTCCCTAAAGAAAGACACACGTTTTAACGTTAGTGTTTTGTCGTTGCATAGTCCATCCAGGTTATAAGAGGCTTTGGCACTGATCAGGACTAGTCTCTCACTGGCCCCATCTCTTAACTTACTGTGCATGATCATATTTTCCTGGTTTTATGCAGACAGTTTACCTTCATGGACAGTAGTCTGGTAAGGTAGATCTCTGGGATAGCTTTGGCTCTCTCTCTCTCCCTCATGCTCCCTCTGCGGTGTTTGGGAAGCTCTGGCTCCTCACTGGCTTTAACCAGGTGCCACAATCTCACTCCTCCTTCATCTGCATCCTCCAGCATAGGAGTTTCTGTATTGTGAGAATTTGTATTTGTGAGATCCAGCATCAAAAATGATCATTTCTCAGCAGTCAAAATCATAAGTCTACTGGTAAGCAGGCCTTACACACTGGATTAGTAGAGAAATGGAAAGACATTAGAAAAATACACATAAGTTCCGGCAGAAAGATGAGACAAGATACCAGTGAAGTCCAAGTTAACACTCACTCTCTCCAGCTACGTATTCATGGTTGTCATGATGGATGTGCTTGGTGTGTCGAGGTATAAGAGCGACAGTTGCCCCATCTGGGACCTGCAGAGCAACAATCTGTCAATAACATCATAAACTGCATTTGTTTATGGTTTAGGATCTCTCCAGACGGCTGGTACTGACTTTATAGTGCTGCAAAGTGTTAAGGCGTTTCCAGCTGCCTTGCACCACTGAGGTCAGGTCCTCGTCTGACAAGATCAGGTGCCCGGCTACTCCTGATCGCCACTCTGGTTAGACACAAAAAATATTTTCTGTAGTTTGCAAATTTTAATGCTTGAGTGTTAAAATGCAAAAATCATTGACTCAATAATATTTTTTTTACAAATAAAAACAGGTAGTGTAATCAAAAAAGGGTAAAGTGGTATTTTTGCTTTTTTAATCAAAAAAGCTTTATTGCCATTGTCAGTGAACAAACTAGAAATATGCCTTGGTGATCTGGCACGACATAAATTAATGAATTAAAACAAAAAAATAACTATACACATTTGAAGCACGTTCCTGGAGCACTGCAAAAATATATTTTCAATAATGTTATCAAGATATAACAAAGAAATATAGAGATTTTCATTTTAGTCAATATCGGCATTGTTGTGAGGGATAATAATGAAAAATACTTTATTTCTGTCAGACCACCCCTACTGATGCTTCATACCTAAATCCAGAGAATCAGCATGAGGGCGATGTGAGAAGGATGTGCCCTTAAAGACTTGGTCCAGGATCTTCTCTTTGACCTGGGTGATGGTGTCACAGTCCAGCACTTTGGAGGTCAGGGGCTGGCTGTCACTGAGCCCACTGCCCTGTACCAGCACATTTAGAGTCTGCAGAAGAGTATACAGGAATCAGCTTGGGCCACCATAGCAGATAAACGCATAAAATTAACAAGAACATACCACAGTTTTGTATTCAACATCTTCTCTTAGCAACCGGTTGTCATTAAGAGTGTATTTGGCCTTTCCTGTCACGGCGTCCACTGGGCCTTTATCCACCTGGTGCTTTATGGCCCTGAACAGCATGTATAATGGTTCTCCTGCTGAATCCTGTGCAATGAAGAGCAGAGGGTGAAAGGAGGGGGCTTCAAGGAGCTATAAAATATGCTGATTAGATTATTGAACAGAAATGTCTGTGTTTGTGTATGTGTGAATCAAACATCAAACATCTCTAACGGGACCAGTGTACAAAGCTTTTTTTTTTTTTTTTTTTTTTTTTTTTAAACAGTTACAGTTACAGTTAAGCTGGGGAAGAATGTTGTTCAAAGACTGCAAGTTTATCTCCAGAGATGTAGCACAAGCGAGTACAGCAGTGATGTTTGGCCTTATCTATGCACCAAGTGTGGTTTCCTATGCATTTTGACTAAGTAGGACTTTGAATATCTCATATTCTCAGACTCACCCTAAGGAAAGTATAAAGACAAATTGACATCCAGTTGGTTAGCAGTTTTTCCACTACAGTCTCTGTCCTGTAGAAATAAAACAGTAGAAATCAATGATTCAATTCAAATAAAACTCAATTAATTCCTGTTTTAAGTATTTGCTGACCTCCGGAGCATCAGTTTTGGGTTCTTGGCCACATATTGCTCCACCAGATCATTCAGAAGGGTTTTCAGGATGTCTGTGAAGTACTCCAGTTTGCCATGCAGGGACACTGTCAGCAGAGAGGCCACATAAGCCCGATCTCTAGGCGAAAACGTGCGCTGGCTTTCAAGAGTGTGGATGAACTACGAATACAAAAAAAACATGCATTAAAGAATGTAAATCTCTCGGCAAATGTATCAGTAGTTAGGACTTTAAAATTGCATCTGATATTTATGTGATATTTAAAAAGTAAGGAATGGGTAAACTCAAATGTCATTTTAAATGCTACTGAATACCTTGGTGAGGAAGAGTTTGCTGTTGAGGAGATTGGACAGCTGCACCAGACCCTGCTCCACAGTCTGTCGTCGACTCTCCTGAACATCCAAGTCCCGTCGCAGCGGGGACTCCCGGTGGCCAGGGAAGAAAATGCGTTCTGCGTACATGCGGTAGTCAAGGAAAGGGATGCCTGACCCCACCAGATCACTCGACATATCCATCATTTCTGTCATCAAGTCTGGAAGGAGTCAGAGGAATATTAGATGATTTGAAGATACAGCTACATATATATACTTATATTTATTTATATGTTATTTTGTGTTTTACCTGTGAACTCCTTCTTGCAGCGATCTCTCACACTAGTCTCTAGGTTCTCCAGTTGTATCTGGACTTTTTTATAGTCCCTCAGAGCCTGTTTACTCTTCCTCCTGAAGTAAGACATTTGAGCAATGGGTAAGTTTTACATTTTTACATTTTGTGTGAAAATTATTAAATTACAAAAATGTATTAAAGTTACCTGTAGATGAGAACAATAATGAGGACGATTAAAGCAACAATCGAAGCTCCCACTCCCACTCCAATCTGGGCTTCCAAAGGGAAAGTGGCCAAACTGGGGTTGTCATACTGCACTTTGCCCAGGGCGAAATTCAGGTTTCCCATTCTTACCTGAAATGCACATCTGACATTACACTAAATTCTTAAAGCAATGACAAATAGATGATTGGGGACTGACTATGAACTCAGGTAGGCTGTCAGAACCCTCTCTTTTGTTTCCATTGGCGGCAGGCGAGGGCTGCTGAGGAGGAGGCTCACAGTACAGGTGGTTTTTGGTTAAAGTCTTCACTGCACAAACTCCCTCCCCCACCTGCACCAACACCTCATCTTTGGTCATGGCCAGGTCCAGGTTCTCACCCTGCGTAACCGACAAAAAAAAATACTTTAAATTTGAGTAATGGTGAGTAAAAAAGCTGTTCTGAAAGGGTCTTGATTCAAACCTCCAGTTGGATAAAGCTGCCCGGATTGTAGCGGTAGACCTTCAGTGGGTCCTGCTGATTGAGGGGCTGCAGAATGGGGTTGGGCTCATAGCTAAAAGGCTGGCTGTTCAGAGTGCTGAAGTCAAAACTGAGGTTATCAAACTGAAACTCTACTTTGACCTCTGAACCTTGCACAGTGGGGTCCACCACAGGAGAATGGCACAGGATGAGAGAGGAGGAGTTCACCTCACAGGAGCCCACAAACTGAAGACACAAAACAAATAAATAAATCTGTCAAACTGTGACACAACATAAACAAAAAACTAATTTTGCCAAGTCCACAGACCTGTTTGAAATCAGGTTCACTTCTGCTTTTTCGCCCACTTCTCCTTCTACGGCTCTTAGCTTTAGTCTGGGTGACTGGGGTTTCCAGCAGAGAGATGGTGACCACCATCCGGGGCCTTTGCACCACATCCAGGTTGTATCCATACACATAAATCAGCCGGCCACCGCTGTGAAAAAAAAAAAAGTACATTTACAAGACAGTTATAATCATTCCTAAACTCTTTCTTAATGATGCATTACTGTATGCTTTTAGTTTAGTAATATAAAGGAAGAATAAAGATGTGGAATTTGTAGATCAGCATTCTTACCCCATGAAGCTGTTGGCTGGTGAGGCATGGGTGACGTTGGGATTGGGGCTATAGAGGTACTTGGTTGAATGAAGGTGGCGCTGGCTGTGGCCATAATGCAAAGTGAGCCGATGTTCTCCGATCTCTTTACTGGGGCCTGTCTCACACTGTACACTGGACATGTGCACCTCAGACACTCTGGGGCACAGGGTCCAGATGAGGAAATCATTTAAGTAAAAGTAGAAATGAACATAAGTAAAAACAGTAGGTCACAGAAAACTTACATTTTACAGGGCACTCTTCCAACAGTAATGTTGAGGTCTGCTGGACGTCCTGTTAGCAAGTTTAGGCCGGTAACATTGAGAACGGTTCCTCCAGCCTTAGGGCCCCTAACAGGTGACACACCCATGACAAAAGGATCCTGAATAGAACATAAATATAATTTAATTATGCTATTTTCAATACACAGTGATATGTGTAGAACAAGTGTTACCTGATAACTGAACATTTGGCTGGAAAGGCCGAACTCCCCTCCACTCACAGTGACAGACACATGGCCAGCAGTCGGTCCACCACTGGCCCTGGTTTTGCAAACAATCCTGACCACATACAATTATTATGTTATTACTGTGAGGTTTATTACTAATTCATTATGTGACCAGTTATGACGCTGCGACACACAGGATTTCACATCAAATCCCAATATTGACTGTCACATTTTTGTGCTGTGTACCTGGAGGAGACTTCATAGAGACTCGGGATGACCGTGCAGGGAACCTCAGCCACAGACACAGAGTGGAGAATGTCTTCAGGCTTCTGTCCCAGGTTAGAGCCAGTTATAGTTACCATGGTTCCTCCCTCCAACAGGCCGGACAAAGGTTCAATCTAACAGGCAATGTATTATTAAGGATCTGTTTTGTTCCATTTGATTCCACAGGAGAATGAATTCTTACTGAGTGTATGACTGGTGCGGGACAGGTCTTCTCTACGAGGTGGCTGCAAGTGTCGGAGTACATACAGCTGGCCTGAGCCCCCCCACACCACACACAGCCGTACTTCTGATCCGCAGTGTGGCAACGGCTGCAGTCTGAGCGCCCCACCGAGCAGTTGTACAGTGTCACTAAGCAGAGCATGAAATTACAGTTAGATTTATTCATTTTACATACATACATGTGTTTTACAAAATTTAAGTTAACATGAAAAAAAAAAGTGTGTTCAAAGATTATCCCCTATACTTATTGTTAGAACACATAGGAAGCTGGGCCTTTGCTGCTGCAGGTGCTTATGTTATGCATTAGAAGTTGACACTACAGAATTGTTTCTAGTATCTTTAGTAGAGGTTTGGCCAAATAAACACTATGCACTTACCGTATAGATCTGGAGTACTGTCCACATGAAATGTATCTCTCCTTTTCACATAAACCATGGCATTATACTCCTCCAACTGGGCTGAGTATTCATACTGACAAACACATAGTGGATTATATCAATACAATATTTACACACAAGGATTCCCCATATCATTGGATCCCTACTTTTCATACTCTCTTCCCATTTAAATCTCATTATACATTGTTACACCAGGAGAGTGGAAAGAGCAATACATAAATTGGACAATAGCCTTATAAACAATCTACCTCATGCAGCTGACAGGTGATATCAAAGTTGGATGGATTTATGTCATCCATTTCTACATAGGCATCTACCACCACGGTTTGACCCTCGATTACCAGCACACACTCATAATCCAGCTCAGGGTCCTGCACACATATAAAAATCACAATATGCTGTGATACGCCATTCACAATAACAAATTATGAAGTATGATATATCGCTAAAGAAAATATAGATGATAAACAATAATACTGACTGCCCTTGACAGAATAACCCTAAAAAAATAATTCTATACATAAATGAAATGCTTAACAATTCATAGAAATTATTTATTCCGCTACAGACTGAATAAAAAGACTAAAAAGACAAAAGGCAAAAGGTTCCACACAAGTACAACAAAGAAGTACCCATGATAAATGAATATTTACTTCTAAAAATAATTTAATTGATGTACTGAATGATAAGTCAATATAGTAAGTATCATGACAGGTCTATGCAGGGATAATATACACTACTTTGATTTATCCTTAAAACAAAAAAAGCAGAAAGGTCACTATAGAAATCATAAAAAATTAAAAAGCAAATTGGGTAAATGTAAATGTAAATGTTTGAGAAAGTATGAGTGAGAAACAATGTTAGCTGTTTATCACTGTCCCAAAATAGTATGGGGTAAAAAGTTGTCCCATTGCACTGTACCTATATGGCATTCACATTAAGTACTGCAACATAATAGCTCATTACCTTCATAATAAAACATATCTGTACATGTAATGTAGCAAATTTTACCTGATAGAGGTGCAGATTGTGTGCCAAAAGTGTAATCTTCCTCTTAACACTGACTGGCAGCAGTGAGGAGCCCTGGATCTTCTCGACACATGGGCATGCAGAGGCCCCCCAGCTAACATAGGAGCCCTCATCTCCCTGTAACATAACAGCAAATTACAATACAACCAAGTACACTACGGTATATTCTGTGCTTTCATTCATATGGTGGGGCTAGACAAAATAACTTTTATAAATTCTGTTTTTGTGTGCAATATTTGATGTGTTGGTTTAATTTTATTATTTTTTTAATTATTAAAGTTTAATTATTGAGGCTTAAAAAGTGTTCAGGGCACATTGAATGATCTGTAGATTTTCTTTAGATTAAAAAAAATTAATTTTCCATAGAATATATAAAACAATACTGGCTACTGCCCCTCCACCCTGCATAAGTCATTTCAAGGACTTAAATCTGATAATTTTTTGGGTTACATACACTGCATACAGTACCTCTATTAATGTATACTAACAAAGTAAAAGTGCATAGGTGAATACATTTGGAACAGTGAGGGAGGCATGATAATGGGTGTGAACTTACAGGGAGAAAGCCCTCATCTTGGTCATACTGATAGTCCAGCTCAGAGTCAGAGTCCTGGAGAAGAGGGGAGGGGGGTGGTGGGGCATGCTCCATCTCTCCATCTCCTGACAGGACAGTCCCAGCTGAAAATGTAGCAGTGTCGTTTTCAACCTGTTTAATTTGGTCTTCTGGTTCTTCTTTTTCTTTCGACCACACCAGCACCTCGGGGCCTTCAGTTGGGGGGTTAGGAGGTGGAGGAGGGTTGCTTGTTTGGAATTCATTAGAGTCAGAGTCAGCGTCAGCGCCCATAAGGAAAGGTGTGGGTAGAGGAAAACTATTCGGATCAAGGGTAGGTGGTCCAGAAACATCTTGGGTAATAGGCGTGTCTTCTGAGAGCATTTCCTGGGACACTGTATCTGGTTCCATATGGGGGATCATCAAAGGCATGACTTGGTCCAATTCTCCACTTTGACCATCAGCCTGGGTAACTGGGACCAAACCTGGACTGTCATTTGTGGGGGTGGGTGCCGCTTCAGCGTGACCCTCTGGTGTAGGTATGGTGGGGGGAAGGGCAATACTAGCCTGGGTGCTAGGTGCTGTGGTGAAGGGGCTGGCAGTAGTCTCTGGTGTAGCAGTAGTAGTAGTAGTAGTAGTAGTAGTAGTAGTAGTAGTAACAGCAGTAGTGGTGACAGGAGTTGTAGTACTTGTAGTAGTTGTAAGGGGGGTGGTGGTGGTTAGGGGTAAGGTGGTGGTAGGGGGCACCCGAGCGGTAGTAATAGGAGCTGTGGTGGTCGTCACGGCAACTGTTGATGTGGGCGTCAGGTCTGTGGTGATGATCTCCAGGGCTTTGGAAGTGGGGGGAGGAGATGTAGGGAGTTTGAACTGGAGGTGAAGCGACAATGGGAGAGATTAGGAGCAAATGGGACACAACTAACTAAAAATGAACAAATAAAGCACAAATAACAAAAATACACAATACATGTTGTTGTAGCATTTGGTTATGGTAAAGCCATGGGATCTAAACTAAATGAGGGGCAATGACATCCTATTTATGCATGGTTCATATTTCAATGTACATTGTAAAATCATGATTTGGTTCTTTAATATTTGTGCAATAAAACTGTATATTACAAACAAAAAGAATAAGCACATCTGTATTTGATTTATATGTGTCTACTGAAAACATTTACAATCTGCATTTGTATTAATATATATATTAGCATTATTGCATGGGGAATGGTTTCTTAAAAGGTGCATTGTGTAATTTTTCTGGTGGTGGAAATTATTGCTTCGTCTGAAATGTTATACAGTATGGCATTAAACCTCTCTATCTTGGAAATCTACCAAGTTATAGGTCAGATCTGTGGAGAAGCAGCTCCACTCAAAGTCAGACTTATTGTTTTTCTAGGTATTTTTGAGCTATAAAACCACCTGTAATTGAATAAATGTGAGGTAAAGTTGTTTAATGTCACACTATGGAACATTCCAGGCAGTTTTTGTTGTTTATCTAACACCAAGGCATGTTATAGTAGTCATTATGTAATTTTTTTTGTTTGTTTTTTATTACTAAGGCTGATGAGGTACTTACATGCTGGTTATAAATGATGACCCCCTCTTCGCAAGTGGGTTTGTGTGTGCACGTGTGCTGATGAACGCACCAATTACAGCCCCAGCGGCTCAGGACACACCCTCGACAGCTGCAAGGGGGGCAAAATTCAGTATTATCCAAATGAAACCAGGACCACTGTATTATCACAAAATTATTACTAAAAGTCTTGCACAGATAACAAACAAACATGGGATAAAAACACTCACGGCATGCTCCCAGACAGTTGCTTCACTGCTTGACAGTCAAAGATCGAGAAGTCCCTCTCTGTGACTGTCACATTCCCAAAACGCAGAGACAATACCACTTTGACAAAATCTGACAAAACAAATGTGATTGCAAAAGTACATTAGAGTAAAGTACAGGTTTAGCATCAAGACCATAGACAGTATAAAAAAGTGGACGAAGGGAGTGTGATGTCACGTATAGCGTTCAGCTCCAGTCAAATGAAGCTCACGATGCTGGCAGTTATAGGGGCAAATTTGTAGATTTTGAGTAAGATCCAAATTAGGAATAGGAATTTATTCATGGACAAAAATAGGGAAATAAAAACACCAGGATCATGGAGAGCGGATTAATACAAAGAGAGAGGGGCAGCAATTTTTCAATGTAAAGTCAATGGAGCCGGAAGCGCCTCCATGTTTCGAATGTGGAGGCTAGTGGGTTAGGTATGTCCATATACAGTCTATGATCTAGATGGACAGTTTTTGATATTTAGTCTTCAGTTAAACCCACCTTGTCCTGGAGGCACCACAGGCACTCGACTGGGGTGTGGGGAACGACATGAGACACCCGTGGAGCTGACAGAGGCAGGACTTTCACTGTTCTGGAAAAAACATGTGTAGGACTCGCCCTTCTCCAACACTGGTAGTCCCGGGACAAAGAGGGATATCTGAAGATGCACCAAAGCACAGACCAAATATAACAGTAATTTGGTATTTAATTTGGTATTTAGATTGCAGATTATTGACAAAGACAAAAAAATCATTTAGTTGTATTTATTTGTGATGTGGGCAAAGCAGAATAGAATAAGCTTGCATTAATCTCACAAGGAAAATAAATAAAGGACATTAAAGGATATTAAATAAAGTACCTTTATATAATATATACAGTAGTTGTCATTTGAATAAATAAGATAGTAATCAGTTAAAATATTTTTTCCCCAATTTCAACCTTTACAATTTCAACTGTGCATAAATGAATGTGCCCTTGTCTATTATATGAAAAAAGGTTTTTAAAACATACCTGGAGTTGTGTTTTTTTTTTCATTTACACATTTTTGAGTAGCCCTTTATTTATACTCCGTCTAAATCTCCAAAGTTCAGAATTCAATTCAATTCAAGTTTATTTATACAACACATTTAAAAACAACTTCAGCTGACCAAAGTGCTTCACATAAAAAAGTCAACAAAAACAGAAGAAACACTTGTGATGTCATGTAGTGTTAACCTTTTGTTTAGTAAAGATTGGCAAATCTAGAGCTGAAATGATCCAAATTATTCTAGTGAAGGTGTATGGAGTTTAAAACCACAGTGGAGCACTTCCTGTTTTACCACATGACATCACAAGGTGGAACAAAGTGTTTTGTGTTTCAGAGAAGAACTCAGCCTAATTATGCAGGGTTTGTGTGTTAACCATGTGTGAATGAAAGAGAACTTACAAAACTCCAGTGTTTTTTTTGGAAGAAACATCATTATAACATAGAAACAGCAGAAAATGGTGAAATAAGAGTCCTGTAGAAGTCAGGGAGAGTCATGATAGTCTGTTGTAAAATTACATGGCTGAAACACACTTACCATGTGACTCTCATCCTTGCTGACATTGGCAGGGCTGAGCTCTTGAATGGAGAGACACTGTTGCTCCATATCAAAACTCCAGAGCCACTGTCCAGGCTGCTGTCCACGAGCACATTCAGACTGTAACATGCACCTAACAGGGGAAGTTTTAAGTTAGATTTAACAGTGGCAACAGTGTTTTTATATGGACTTAAACATCTAAGACCATAAACACTGAAAGGAAAGGACCCTGTGGCTAGTGTTGCTATATGTAAATGTATGTGTAATTCTTTTATCAGTCAGTAGATGTCACTGCCACGCATGACATGCAGCACTCTCCAATAAATACACTGGTTTTGCTTCTGGGGCTTTGGCTCAAGTCTAGTCAAGTCTAGTCTGCTTCTCAAAAAGCAAAATACCTGGACTTTGTATTTTTTTTTCACATTATAGATTTTTATAGATAGATGATATTTCATGTGACTGAGGTATGAGCCATGTAGTAGTAACACCAAACATGAAACTGGCGTTAACAACCTGTGATTTAAAGGTCCTATATTATGCAAAATTGACTGAGTTTTAGCCGTGTTTTAATGCTGTTACGTCATCAAAAACATACCTGGAGTTGGTTTGTTTCTTCCACACATGTTTGAGTAAACCTGGATTAATAGACTGTCTACCTCTCCAAAGATCAAAATGCTCCACCTTGCAATGTCATGAAGCGGTAGTTTTCAAGTTAGCAGCTACCTTTTACCCTTTGTTTAGTAACAATTGTCAATTCCAGGTCTGAAATCATCCAAATGATTCTAGTGTCTAGTGTAGGTGTATGGAGTGGAAAACACAGTAGGGCACTTCCCGCATTACCACATGACATCACAAGGTGGAACAGAGTTTTATAGAGCTCACCCTAAATATGCAAGATTTGTGAATGAAACAAAACACAAGTCCGGACATGTTTTCGATGAGGAAATAATATGGGCCCTTTAAGTTTACCAATGTTATGGAATCAACTGTCCATGCATGTGTGTAGTTACCTTCCTTGTAGGACACACCAGCCGCAGTAGGGGTCGTGGGCCAGCAGACAGGAGTGGCAGTCCTCATGCCTCCAGCACTCAGCCACTGGTCTCTTCTGCAGCTGTAACCAGGTCAAAACTATCACTACACCAACATAGTGCATTCATATTCAGGGAGCACACACGCTAAGCTCTCGGAAATCTGATTAAGAAGAATAGGTGCCCCATTTTCCCCATAGCAACAATGGAACACTAACTGCGGTCATTAGAATAATCCCGGTGTTATTGCTGCTGCTCTGCCTCATTATGGGACGGATGGGGGGCACTTCTGGAATGTGTTTGTGATCTTCACTAATGCAGAAACAATGCCCAGTTTTAATGGGTGATATTTAAGGATATACAAGAAAATCTCAATAGCTCCAGCACAGGGTACAAAATTTAAAACTACTGCCAGGTGATTGTATAAACTTAAGACTCATCCACTGTCCTCTTCATTCATATAGTATAAAATTGCAGATATGTTGCATTAGTAATAGACAAATCAGGTTTTCCATTGAAAGTAGAAAGGACAGATTAATTCAGTGCAGGTTTATGCCTTAACTTCTACCTTAAATTAAAAATAAAATGTATTTGCCTGCCCTTTTCTTATTTCTTATTTCTTATTTCATTCCCTTACATGGTTACATGGCACCTTGAACAACTGTTACAAAAGACAAGGCATTTACTTAGTGGTAGTGATTATTTTGAGCTCCAACAAAAGCAAAATGTATGAAGATGGACCTATGATAGTATTTAGTACCATGTTCTGAGTCATGATGAAAAGATGCTGCTCTGCCTGGTCCAGAATGAGATCTGCACTAATGGCAGTGTTTTGTTGGATGGAGATGATGGAGTACTCCTCCACCTCACCGTTTGGCCCCAAAAACACCTGAAAACAAAAAGCACGTAGTATGGTAGTATGACAATGGTCATGCTAGCACATTTTTTTAAAACGGTAATATATTCATAACCATTCATGTTACTACAATACAATTTTAGACTTAGATGTACTTTATTGATCCACAAAGGAAATTATTTGAACACAGCAGCTGCCACATCATAATATAATAATAAAGAGGAAAAATATAAATGGTAATAATAAGTTCTAAATAAACAAAAATAGCAAGTACTTTACTTGAATAGTTTTACTCCTCTCTAAACTAAAATATGCATAACATATAAAGTGAAACTTAGTGTACTGTTTATTCATAATCTATACATCTTTACTGGAGGGCCTGTGAATATGAGAAGAAAACAGTGATCTTAAGGGAATGCACATTCTCCGTGCTATTGTACCTTATGCATATTCCCTTTGGAGTCACCCAGGAAAGTGATTACATGCCCAGCCCTCACACTGACTGCCACAGCAGTAAGTCGGGCTGAGGGGCTATCGAGGATGGTCTCAGCATCCACAGAGATTCTGCTGGCCATGGGACTGGGGGTGTGGTCTGAGCCACATGGGTATGCCTCCAGGGTGTTCTAGGAGGAAGCACATTTGTATGTTAATAATAATCAGCCTACATGTGTGAGATTTCTTTGTTTAACTTTATTATTTTACTATCAGCAGATTTTTTAAGGGTCTTTGGCAAACCAATAAATAATATGGTCTTCTATAGGTTACATAACCATCTAGTTGTACATTGCTATGTCTTCACAATGACAAGTCCTTAACACAAATTAACAACTGAGGGAAGAAAGGATAAAATGCAGCTGTTAAATTTTCTTGCCAGCTACAGAGTTGCAGCAGTTGCTTTTTAAATGCATCAGTATGATCATAAATGTATGGTGAGGACATCATTATATTTACATGCAGAGAAACAGGACAAAAGCTGAACAAACACAAAATTTTCTCAAACATGTAACAACTACAAATTACTAGCATTCAGCATTTGACAAATAATGTTGATATTAGGTTAGTTAATAGATTAGCAGCTCTAATTAAGTAACAAGAACTATGCCCAGTGGTTTGTTGTTGTTTTCAGCGGATATCTAATGAACTTGTCAGCCCTTGTAAGAGAAAAATATTTATGGCTGACATCGTGCAGTATGTGCTGGGTCTGCAGGCTGCGTGTTTTCCTACGAAATATGTCAAAGCGGGGTCATTGTTTCACCACTGCTGCTCATTGGATCAATAGGAAATCGAGGCAATGAACCTGCGAGCACTGCCTGCTGAAAGCTGCGTGAAATTGGCTTGTTCACTCTTATGAATGGACCTCTTATTTGGCCAAAGAGTGTGTCTCCTTGTGCTAGCACGTATAGATAGATGGCACACCCATCACCACAAGCTCCAAACTTCTTCAAACTTGTGACATGAGCAGCAGGATGGCATGGCGGTTAACTGCATCTTAATCTGCTATAAGAATGTTAAACAACCCAGACTTAAAGTCATACCAGGAGGAGCTCTCTATGAACCTTTGACACCATAATATATCTCCACAACAGGCAAGCAAAGCCACAAAACCATGGCCTCTCTAACTATTAAAAAGATTATGGAGTTGATTCTCTTCCAACACACAAAGTCTCACTCTCTTACTCACAGCATATAGCCAACTATCTATTTACACAGGATTAAAAAATGACTCATACAGAATTTTAAAGCTTAACCATGATGACTAATATAAAAAGTATATTGTTAGACAGATTAGTTATTAGTGTTTATTTTTCCACTGGGAAAAAAGTGTGCTTTCATTAGGTGAAACTTACTGTGGGTAGATTAGCACAGATGGACTTGACTTCATACTCGATGTAGGCCGCCTCTGTGCCTGCCTCTTTGCCCATCTGGGTGTAGCACAGGTCTCTGGTGGAGTTGATCCTTGAATCTATATCTCGTAGGTTAAACATACAGAGGGCAGAGTCTTCACTGGGCCGAGGTGATGAGGTCGACTGAGTGGAGAAGACCCCCAGCAGGACATCCTGACCTCCTGCATCCCCCCCTGAGCGGCCCAGTTGCACGGCCTGCAGTAGACTGTACACCTTCCCTGCTCTGGAGCGACAAGTTAAAGGCACCTCTACATAGGAGTAGTACGACTGGTCGTCCAGGCAAACTCGAGACACATATGTCCGATATTCCCTAGACTGAGACTTTAGATCTCGCCTGTAGAACAAGAAATATACATGATGTTGGTGCAAATGTGGCCACAAAATGATGATCGTACTCTGAGAGGCGTCCAGCTACAGCAAGTTTAGCTGTGTCTTCATAAGAAAAAATAGATCCTTGGGCAAGGTTTCGGGTGGAAATGGGAGGATGGCTGCTGGTGTAACCCCGTCCAACAAACAAAACAGGCTGGCGGTCAGGATAGGCCCGGACAACTACTCCTACAGTGCTGACATTGGGATGGTTGGCTGCTACATATTGAGTATCTACTGGTCTTTCGGTAGAGAAGAAGATTTGATCGACAGAGTCCAGGCTTCGTTTCTGACAGATTCCCTGATTGACACTCCCACAGGTGATGAGGTTCCCAGAGTATGGGTCGACCAGCAGCAGCTTGTTGTGGTTGCTAGTACTTCGAGCCTGCGGACATGTGATCTCTGTCACAGGGGGCAGGCACTCCTGGCTGTCGGTCACTGGGCCAGTGTCAGCTTGGACCTCCACCTGTAGGTTTTTGTCCAGTTGGAAGAGATGGTTTCGGGCACCCACATAAACCCGACCGACACGAGGGTCCGGGTGCAGGGCCAAGTGCTCAAACAGAGTGTCGGGGTGGGTAAAAGTGGGATACAAGTCAGAGGAGTCTGATTCACAGTGGACACCACTGGGCCGGACCACAGTGAGCACCAGGAGGAGCACTGGGGGTCCAGCCCAACAGTGAGCTCCCATCCCTGGAGGAATGGCTTCAGAGCTGAGAAAGAACACAGAAAATATAAAATACAATATAAATGTATACAGTCCCTGACAAAAGTCTTGTCACTTATCCATTTTGTAGAAACAAAAGCTTATAACCTGACTTTAAATTAATCGATTGGTTTTAGAAATGTCTCATATGAAAGCTAAAACCCTCCCAAATTATGCTCAATATACTAAAATAAATTTGCTTCACTGAAGAAAGATTGATCATTTAATGAACACAGAAAGGTCAGATTTTGGCAAGACAAAAGTCTTGTCGTCTTGTCATATGATGCACCCAATCCTAGATTACAGCCTCACCTGTGATCAGTTACTGATCAATCAATTAGTGGGTGTGTATAAAAAGAACCCCAGCACACCAGACCTTCACATCAACTGCAACTTGACCTCTGACAACATGCCTAAGATCCACCCTGAGACCAAAGCGTTAATTATCAAGAGGCTGAAGACCAGATCCACTGCTGAGGTGGTGACACCTTCAATGTGTCTCAGCGTCAAGTACAAAGAATAAGAAAAAGATCTGAAATGACTGGAGATGTTTTTGACAAGCCCAGGTCCGGCAGACCCCACAAGACAACTGCTCGGGAGGACCATTTGTTGGTTCGAAAATCCAAGGCCCCTTTTCCACTGCAGCAGACCCCACCAGGCCTGGTCACCTCAAGTCCCTGTGTCAACCACAACAGTTTGTAGAATTCTGTCTCGAAATGGCCTCCATGGTTGAATCAGTGCACAGAAACCAGCACTAAACAAATGGCAATTAAAAAACCGTGTGGCATTTGCCAAGGCCCACAGCCTGCTAAAAGGATGGACACTGGAAAACTGGCAGAAGGTGGATTTCTCAGATGAATCCTCGGTTGAATTACATCACAGCCGCCGCAAATATTGCAGGAGACCTACTGGAGCCGCATGGATCCGAGATTCACCCAGAAAACAGTTAAGTTTGGTGGTGGAAAAATCATGGTCTGGGGTTCCATCCAGTATGGGGGTGTGTGAGACATTTGCAGGGTGGAAGGCAATATCAATAACCTAAAATATCAAGAAGTATTAGCTCCTCTTTCATTCCCAACCATAAAAGGGGTCAAATTTTGCAGCAGGATGGTGCTCCATCACATACTTCTATCTCTACATCAAAGTTTCTCAAGGCGAAGATGATCAAGGTGCTCCAGGACTGGCCAGCCCAGTCACCAGACATGAACATCATTGAGCATGTCTGGGGTAGAATGAAAGAGGAAGCATGGAAGGCAAAACCAAAGAATCTTGATGAACTCTGGGAGGCATGTAAGACGCTTTCTTTGCTATTCCTGATGACTTCATCAACAAATTGTCAAACCGCATGGATGCAGTCCTTCAAGCTCATGGAAGTCATACAGGATATTAAATCTGGATCTCACAGCACCACTACTTAATTCACTGATGTTATGCAACATATTTTTGTATTTGAAGTAAATTATTTGTTCAATTTTCTGTAGGCGACAAAACTTTTGTCTTGCCAAAATCTGACCTTTCTGTCTTCATTAAATGATCAATCTTTTTTCAGTGAAGCAAATTTATTTTAGTATACTGAGCATAATTTGGGAGGGTTTTAGCTTTCATATGAGACATTTCTAAAACCAATTGATTAATTTAAAGTTAGGTTATAAGCTTTTGTTTCTACAAAATGGATAAGCGACAAGACTTTTGTCAGGGACTGTACATTGTGTTTACAGATGTACATTGCCCATAAAAGCAAGTACAACAGGCTCTGTCATATTGTAATGTAGATAGGTCATTCATTTGCACACGATAGCAAAATGAGATGTATTGGTAGATGTGTCCATACCCTCACGAGATGTCCTGCAGCATAATCCTCATGGAGATCAGCTCCCTCTATCGGAGGAGCGTCAGAGTTCTGCTTCACTCCTCCTGGGCATTACCTGCTGAGAAAAAAGAAAAAAAAAACAACTCATGACTAATGTTATCTAATGATGTGTTAGTTTAGTGTCAAAACCAAGAGCCAATGATGAAGGTTGAATAAGTGACTTTTATGATATATTATCGAAATGATTTTGGTATAATCAATTACTTTCAACATTATCGTGAATATTTTCTTCACCAATATATCGCATTTCAAAATGTGTTATTGTGACAGGCCTACTATCTATAGCTACTATCTGTTTCTGTTAGAATATCTGTGGTACACTGTCGGCAGTATCTGGTTCATACATTCACTGAACCATTCACTCACATCCATTCACTGGGGGCAACTTGATGGAATGTACAATGAGTGTATACATGCATGTCTTTGGACAGTGGCATGAAGGGGGAGCCCCAATGAGGAGAACACACGCCTCAGTCAGTGTTGGCTGGCCACAGATCCAACTTCACATTTTATGCAAGTGTTATATTTTTATTAAAAGATTACAACGGTTACATGGCAATAATAGACTCAAAATTCATAGGAAATACACAACAAGGTGAAACTAAGTGGCCTTATATTATTTATATTGCCTTGAGGAGGTAACTATAAAGTCTTCTTCTAAAAGTACACACTTCATTGCAGACTGAGGCAGACCAATAGGAGATGTGGGTACATGAGAATTTGTACTTTGTAATTTGTATTTGTTTGATACGTGATGAAGATCAATCAACTAAAATGTTGCAAGTCATAAATTACATAAAAAGGTGTGGGAGTTTCCTTTTTTCTACAAGTTAAGTACCCATTGTCTTTCACACCTGTCAGTCAGGTATGTGGAGCTCTTGCAACACAGATAAAAGCATAAAGCTGCATTAAAGAGAAAATGATTAAAAGTGACAATTTTACCAAAAAAGCCAATGAACACAGGAATGAGCTCATGATATGCATAGCGTCAAGTAGTTCGTAATGTATAGAGAAGAGAGGATTAAAAATTTGACAGTAGACCACAGATGAGGAGAAGCATGTCTTAAAGGCAGACTGAATGGAGACTCCTGCCTTTCTCTACCCTCAGGCTGGCAGCAGCACAGTCTACTGGGGACCGGTGATGTGGGGGAGGGTCTTTCTGGCATGAGAGCAGGCACAGAGCTGGCAGGGAGGTGATGTTTGAGAGCTCAGCGCAAACTCAGACTCACAGCACTGTTCACTTGGTCTGAATTTGTTGATTTTGTTAGATTTTAATTGGTTAGAAGTCTTTTGAGTATTCAGGTCATAAAGTTCGATGACTGGAATCACCGTACTGAAACATGCTCACTGGGTCAAGAAATTAGCTGCAGTGATAAAATCCTTGACTTATCTGCAAATAAATTATTCACTAATTAAACAAATCTTATTAAATCAAACACAATTAAAATAAAATTTACACAAACAAACCAACAATATATATTTGTTGTGCTAATTAACAATATAAAAAACAAAAAGACAAATACATTTTAATCTAATGCCCTACTAGACAATACTTGATACTGACCCAGCTTTTGTGCAGCCATGTTTCTCTGTGAATGGTGCATTCCTATTAAACACTACACTCCCACGTTCAAGCTCATCTCATTATGTGCTCCATGAGCCTGAAGATCAAAGCTGTTCTTCTGCCCAGTGTCCTCTCTCACCTGACTCAAACTACACACTGCCCAAAACCTCAGAGCTCAGTTGCCTTTCTTTGACTTTAGCATAAATGTGTGTTAATTATCGGTTATCTTCACACTAAAGCCTCTAATACAAGGTTAGAAAGAAGCAGTCACAATAATGCGCTTTTGATCCCCTGTCTGTATTTAAAAGCATATGATACAAGTCTACAAAGGACTTACAATAAACTACCATTTCACAGCCTTTATCATGTATTAACTAAACCATACCTCAAAGTTGTCCAGACACAAATAATATCACCCCCCGCTAAATGTTGTGGTCATTTTAGTAGCACCATTGTAGTTCGGGGCATTATTAAGCATTCTGACTAAAAGCAACAAACTTCTGTGGTTCTCTAAAACTAACTGAAGATTTGGGGGTCACGGAATCCTCCAGTGCAAATTTGTTGAGTAATTGAGTAATGCATGAATTTGGTCCCCCAATTAACATTTTCTATCTCTTAAAGGGGCCCATATTACACTATTTTCTGATCTAAGTTACAATGCTGTTTCCTCATTAAAAACATACCTTGATGCACAAACCCTGCATATTTAGGCTGAGTTCTTCTCTCAAATAACACTCTGTGCCATCTTGTGAGGTCATGTGGTAACACAGGAAGTGCTTCACTGAGTTTTTAAACTCCATACACCCTCACTAGAATGATCTGGATAATTTCAGCCCTGGAATTGCCAATCTATACTGAACATTGGCGATGCAGACAGACTAGTAATGCAGGGGTATGTGAATGAAACAAAACACAATTCCAGGCATGTTTTTGAGGAGTTAACAATATTATAACATGGCTTAAAGCTCACAAGAGTAAATTTCATGTTATGTAGGACCCTTTAACTTGAGAGTATTCCCATCGGATCAAGGCATTATCTCACCCACTCGTCACTGAGCTGGCTAAACTGGAGAAGTTATTTATACACAGGGCATTCTTGGTCTAGCAGACAGCGGTCGGAAATGAGCTGAACAAATAGCCAGTAAAAACACAATTCTCTCACATTAAATTATTATCCAGTGACTACATTGACACGCTAGTGCATGCACACAACAGATGAACAGGTAGAGGACACAGGAGACAATTGTAAACAACCAGCTGGGGTCTCGGTGTTAAGGCCAGTCCTGTTGACAGATGAGGACTATTTTGATGACAGTTTGTATAATCACTTCCTCATTAAACTTGTTTGCATTTACCCCCATTGTTAAAAGCACTTTCAAATCCAGGACACTGCCAGGCTGCAAACTAGTGAACCATACAAGGCACTGCTAAGACTGTGCAGACCACGGAGTGAAATGTGTCATAGTAACGCACAATAAAAGGAATTCTGCTAATGCCGAGAGGTACGTAACAATGAGGCTAACGGCAAAAGCAAAAAAGCAAGTCAAATGCAGAGAGAGAAATGAACTAATCTAAAATGTCAGGAACAACTCTATACAAACAATTGTATTTTATTTATTTTATGTATTCAATTTGAATTTGAATTAAATGTCCTATATTACAAAGTCTCTCTTGTGAGCTATAAGTCATGTTATAATATTGTTACCTCAGAAACATATCTGGAGTTATTTTGTGTCATTCACACAAATGTGAATAATCCTTTATTATTAGTCTGTCTACACCACCAGCTCGAATGCTCTGTTCCACCTTGTGATGTCAGCTACTCGTAGTTTAAGTAAACAGCAACTTTTACCCTTTTGTTCAGAAGAGATTGGCAATTCCATGGTTGAAATCATCTAAGTGTTTCTAGTGATAGTGTATGGAGTTTAAAAACACAGTGGAGCACTTCCTGTATTACCACATGTATGTTTGTGATGAGGAAACAACTTTATAACCAATAATAACAAATATCATAATATGGGTCCTTTAAATGACAATTATGTCATGACTATGACAAATAAACAAATAATCAAATAGTCATCTGCATTGTAGTTTTTGTTCTGGGTTGTTTTGCCACAGTGTAACCCCTTAAGGTTAGAAGTTATTCAATTTAATGAAGGTAGAACTAGGTAGCAGGGGGTTGAGTAAGCAATAACTTTAGCCTCAGTTCACATAACCTGGGGCACTACAACTATAACAGAGGCAAACAGCTGCGTATATTCCACAGTCACAAACATAAATCCACCTACATGAACATGATGATGAAAATAAACAAGTGTAAGCAGATAGGCAGTGCTAAACATAGAGGCATATCTCCTCTGCACACTGGACAGTGACTAAACTTTATCTGGTCTAGATTTAGAAAAGTATTCATCATAAAGTAGTTCTGTTGACAGACTTCAGACAGCAACACATATGTCTATGGTAAACATTAGTCTGCAGTAGACTGGTGGCAAAGTACTCAAGCACCAACCTCAATGTTAGACAGTTCATATTGCACCATTTACTAAACTATGTTACAATGTTTTCCCTGGTCCCGGGAATTGTGTTTTGTTTCATTCACACATGTTTAACACAAATCCTACATATTTAAGCTGAGTTCTGCTCTAAAACATAAAACACCTTGTGATGCCATGTGGTAAAACAAGAGAATCATTTGGATAATGTTAGCTCTGGAATTTCCAATCTCTACTAAATAAGGTAAACCAATAAAAGGTAGATGCCAACTTGAAAACTACAAGGTGGAACAGAGCATTTTGAGCTTTAGAGATGTACAGTCCCTGACAAAAGTCTTGTCGCTTATCCATCCATCCATTTTCGTCCGCTTATCCGGGGCCGAGTTGCTTATCCATTTTGTAGAAACAAAAGCTTATAACCTGACTTTAAATTAATCGATTGGTTTTACAAATGTCTCATATGAAAGCTAAAACTCTCCCAAATTATGCTCAATATACTAAAATAAATTTGCTTCACTGAAGAAAGATTGATCATTTAATGAACACAGAAAGGTCAGATTTTGGCAAGACAAAAGTCTTGTCGTCTTGTCATATGATGCACCCAATCCTAGATTACAGCCTCACCTGTGATCAGTTACTGATCAATCAATTAGTGGGTGTGTATAAAAAGAACCCCAGCACACCAGACCTTCACATCAACTGCAACTTGACCTCTGACAACATGCCTAAGATCCACCCTGAGACCAAAGCGTTAATTATCAAGAGGCTGAAGACCAGATCCACTGCTGAGGTGGTGACACCTTCAATGTGTCTCAGCGTCAAGTACAAACAATAAGAAAAAGACTGGAGATGTTTTGACAAGCCCAGGTCCGGCAGACCCCGCAAGACAACTGCTCGGGAGGACCGTTTGTTGGTTCGAAAATCCACGGCCCCTTTTCCACTGCAGCAGACTCCACCAGGCCTGGTCACCTCAAGTCCCTGTGTCAACCACAACAGTTT